GTAAGCAGGGTTTGCGTGAAATTATGAACCATGGCCGCCCGAAGACCAATTCCTTTCATGGAGATTAACGGTAGTGGCTCATACCAGCAGCAGGACACCAGCAAAGAGGAGTTAAGTAGCATATGCGGATATGCAAGGCAACGTCTATGGTCCCATGGTGACGGCGCCCTAAGTCTCATGCCTTCAGACCAACTTGGCGATCTTCGGCGCCGTTCCTGCCCGAAACTACAAAATGCAATGACCAGAAAGCCACACCCGGGCATCCCAGCCCAGAAAACGAGCAAGGAAAGGATCCAGCTGGATTTTTCGAACATCCCGACAAGCAATACTGGACAAGTGTGTGACATTTAGACTTGGCAAAGCACATGCAATTTGAGAGCGCGCCCTTTGCCTGCGCCCATCGCCTTTGCATATAAATTGCAGTCATGCCGACAATCACGGTGAAGCAGGTCAAGAGGCCTGAGCGAATCTATGCAGTTCTTGCTCTGGCATGCTAGCGCCAAGGAAGTCGGAAACGTGTTCACTACACCAGATGTGGCTACCTCCACGCCTACAGGGTTTTGATGTTTTGTTCGTGAAAACGCTTTCATCGTAGCAATACTTCCTGCGATGTGTAGCTGCAAAAACTATTTGTTCTCCACCTTTCTGGAAGTGCTTCTTAAAAATGCAGAATACACTCGCGCGGCTCCGCGCTCAGGCCGCGCTCTGGTGCTATCCAATTGGCAGTTTCCCGCCACGGCCGCAGCAACCGCCAGTTCTACCCCAATTGCCCTCGTGTACACCCAGCCCCCTCTGGCGCCGTACCCAATGGCGGTCTCAGAGCGCAGCCATGCTCGCTTCGATCTGCGTCTGTTGCATAGCTGCAAAAACCACTTCACTGAGCTGGCGTTTCCATCTTGAGCTCAGAACTGTGGTCAACTCCACATTCGGCAAATGCCAAAGCCTACTGAAAGAAGCTTCACCGTTGTGTGCAGGTATGCACGCAAGCCATGTGTGTGGTCTGTGCTGCAAGGTCTTGGTCATGCACATGCTTCATGACAGACAGACCTTCCCGACAGACGTGTGAGAGATGGCTTATCTGGGCCAAGGCCCCTGAAACCAGCTCAAGATGCTCAAGGCGATGATGGCCCAGAGCGGGATGAAGTCCTTCGAAACACGCATTACACGCAGCATCTGCAGTGACGAGTGGAGAGCTGGCGACCATGGAAGACAGTGGCAAAGCATAGAGAACTTCCGGCGTGAAGAGCCAGCAGCATGAGATTTGTAAAGTGCCAGCTTTTGACAGGCTTCGTATGCCGTGCATGGCAGGGGCGGGGTTTACTCTCCTTTCCTGCGTTTCTGACCGACTTAAATGGCAGAAGGAGTCCATAGCTCCGATGTCAGCATTTCATCCTTGCCCTAGGCTAGAGGCCAAACTCAACTCCTGCCTTTGGTTTCTGTACAGTAGGGGCAGAATCACAGCTCAAGTCTTCTGGCTTAGGCGCGTGGTTTGAGGAAACTTCCACGTAGCCAATATATTGCATCCCGTCAACTTGGAAACCTCCTCCTTCTCAACTTCTGCATGTTTGGGGGCGGGGTTCTGCAGTCGCAAGAGCAACGAAGCGAGCACGCCTGAGTGTGCCTGAGCCGTGGAATGAGTACAGGAGTGCGAGCAAAGGAGTCAAGGAGTCGAATGCTCAATAGGGAAGCAGAGCCCGTCTGCAGGCTCCAGAACCGCTGTCCTGCACCGTGGGAGCCGGCTGCGGCGTCGCCTTCCCGAATGAGGCGAAGCAGCCAGCAACACCCTCCCTTGCAAACCAACCTCGGACGCCTCAACGGCAAGCAAGCTGACCTCACAGCTCCCAAAGCTGAGCAGAGATTCCTTGAAACAAGGACCCATGTTCATCAGATTGTTCTCAGCCGGGCCGCACTGACAGGCCCAACTGACACTGCGCTCGAGGCCACTGAGGAGAGACCTGCCAAAAGGCGGCGTGATAAGCAGAAAGCATCTCAGGATCAGATCGATGCACAGAGGAATGATGATCAAAGCAACTGCACCCCTTGCACCCCGCCTTGTATGCCTGCAAGTCTGACGAGGACGTCTTGACGGAGTGCGCTTGCCTTGCTTGCGAACATGAGTCAATTTAAGACTATATGCATGGATTCCTACGCACATCTCCACGCATCATAGGCTTCAACTGCCTGCCTTTGCTAGCAGACACATACAGGAACGCCATGGACATCTGACTGTACACCCTGAGACGCCTCATTGCGCATCCCATCTGCCAGAGAAGCCGTTGCAGCGGCAACACTTTCCTGCTCAGCGCTGGGCTCGTGTTTTTCCGTGTAGTGTTGTGAGAGTTTGATGATTGCTTCTCAGATGATGTGCAAAAAAAAATCTCTCGATGTTGTAGGCACTTTAGACCCTTTGGACCCTTTCGTATCTTCATTTGTTCTCCTTGTGGGCGTGTGGCAGAGAAGTACTCCCCGCACTCCCAAGCTGAGGGCTTGGCTCCCTCTGCAATGGCGGCCATCCTTGCTTGAACCTGTGGTGCGACGGTCACCGAAAGCAACGACATGGGATTGTCGGGGGTCCCGGCCACAACCGAACCAGGAGACAATTGAAGTTCCAGGTCCTCGGGGATAACGCATGGCGCTTCAAACGCGAAGTCCCAAGGCAAACCTTCGAGCCATGGATTCTGAACATTCCAGGGAGGCGCCTCCGCACCATGGGCTCCGCGCAAGGCAGCACCCAGCAAGGCACCTTGCCAGCACGGGGGCCAGGTACGTACAGACCAAGTAAATCTGGCAGGCTCTAGTTCAGCAGGTAGCACACATGCGGCCTTTCACAACGTGCTTGAACTGCTCCAGCAGCACACTGTCTGCAACAAGCTGGATGAAGTCCAGGCCCTCAACCTGCAAAATGAGCTGGAGAGCATAATCAAGCATTTGCTGGACTTTCAATATTCTGCCTCAGCTCCTGCAACATGGAATGAACACGCGAACCATGCCGCACCTCGAAGTTGACCCCAACAAGAAGAGACTCCATCATCTCGTCTGTCCCCTTTGATGTGGCTGGGGTGGTGCTCGACGTGGAAGTCCTTGGACCAACGTCCAGGATGCTGCCACACCTCTTTCTTGCCTTCTCCCGCTCACTGCAGCTTGCCACTTGCCAACCGGTCACATTGCCATCTACCAGCTTCTATGAGCCTCTGAGTCCCATGCTGGGTTGCCAGAGCCTCGTCCTGGTTCACAGAAACAGAATTACGAGCGCATCTGATGTGGAGGCTGCTGGGGGCTGCTGCAGCGAGGCTTGACTGAGAGCATCACAGACTGAGAGCATTCGACTATTCGAGATGAAGAGGAAGCACATGGTGCAACTTTTTGCGCCCGCATTTTGACTTTTCGGACTTTCAGAGAGGGCTCAAAGCTTCCTGGCCGGCAGAAGAGGCCCGGTCTCCGAGGGCTCTGAGGGCTCCAAGGCCTGCCGCTCCAGGCTGTAAAGGATGCCCCCCAGGATGCTCAAAGTGGCCCCTGCCACCTGGAAGGCTTCGAAAAAGGGGTCTCAACACCTAGCAGTAGGGCATTTCTTGGGACCACAAAGGAATAGAAGAGAAGCCTTGCAGAAAAATCTCCTTTTAGAAGCTCAACTTTCAACAATCCTTGCCTGCAGAGGTGTCAGCACGCGTGCGTGGAGGCCCATCGCCTCGATGCCGATGATCACGAATTTGTTGGCGTTCGTCATCACCAGGAAGCTGGTGGCACTGATGAGGCTCTGAGCCCAGACCCCCGTGTAGCTGAGAGATACTCCTATGACGCAGGAAAGGAAGATGTAAAGAAGTCCCCAAGTGTTCAGGGCTTTGTAGGCATTTGGCAGCTGCGTAGCTTCCTGGCGCAAAATGACAAGCAAACCAATGGGCACTAGACCGCAGAGGTTGTTGATCAGGATGACTCCTGTTTTTGAGATGTCAACAGGCTGTTGGTCCTTGGAAAGCAGGAGTCGCTGCAGAAGTCTGTCTGCAACGGCAACTACGCTGTTCAAAAGGACCCAACCAACACCCTTCATGTCTTCCGTCGGGAGGTGGGACACGTACATGCCTGCACCGGCCACCATGATAAGGATGCTAAAGAGCATAGCTGCGGTGATCCCAAGAGGCTCCGGGTAGAAGCGCTCGATCGCCAAAGCAACCAAGGGCGAAGCATTTCTCAGGACAATGATAAGCGACATGGGAGCGCTCTTCAAGGCCAGTATGGAGGTCATCAACATGCTGCAGTAGAGAGGCACCACCATGCACCATCTTCGCAAATCTCGGAAGCTGCCGATGTGAATTGAAGGCCACGCAAAACAAAGCAGCGTGAGCGTAGCAAAGGCAAGCTGAAACCAGACCAGGCAGCATTCAAGGGGGAACGCTTCTATGGCCAGTTTGTTGTAGAGAAGCATCCCCACAGATGAGAAGCAGTTGCATGCACATGCAATCAAGGCTTCCAACCGCAGGGCATTCTGGCTTTTCGGAGTCAATGCATGCAAAGGCAAGGCCTTCATATGCAGAAATGAAACGCAAGGTAAAACGTAGGATCCTGACTGAAATTGGCTGGCGGCGGGGTATGTCAGTGGCAGTGTGTATAGAGGCAGACAACGGAGCACTTCAGAAACATCACCTTGTTTACAAGATAGGCTCGAGTACTGCCCGCTTCTCTGACAATGTAACAACTTCAGCTGCGAAATTCAGAGATGGTCCAGACTAGAACAGTGAAGAGTCGTCCAAAACTGGCTACACTGCAGAATCAGCAGAGCTTTTGCAAACTGCACGGCAGGCACAGATGCTGACAAACACCGAGGTGATTTTTGCGTCCAAGGCAGCTGGTGCGAGGTTGCGGCTTCGGATTAGAAGCTTTACGCATTCATTTGAGATCGTCTTTGCAGCTTGCCCACTCTGTACCTCGGCTAACGTACTGCGAGCTCAAGGGAAACACATGACCCAACCACTTGATTCCAGGGATTTCCTTTTCTAGATTTGTTTACCATTAGCACGTGGCATCTCTATCTCCTAGACATTTCGAATCCATCAAGACTTGTTCTAGTCCAAAGCTCTTGAACCTGAAGCTTCGAGAATTGCAGATAACCATCATCAGATGCTGTCGTGACAGTCGTGAAAGCCTTGTAAGAGCTTCAAGTTTGAAGGTATACTGCGTTTTGTTAATAGCTATTTGCCTACTCAGCAAAGAGATCCTGTCTTCTTTATCCATGATGCTGCAGCACTGCTTTCGCAGAGCTTAGACCTTCGCTGGCACAAATGACTTCCGCTCTTCGGCTTCTTGCTCGATGTAGGAGCGTGCTTTTCCATAAGAAATGCCTCCTTGCAGGGCTCAGTTTCAAAGCATGCTGGCACTTGGCTATTGGTCTCCGCCCTGCCTAGAATCGATAGGCAAGCTCCCAGGAACTGATGCAGCGTAAGCACCTCGCGGGCAAATTCTGGCGGACAGCGATGCACGTGGAGAGGAGACATGGAGGCAACAAAGCTACGCCAGCCACGCATGATCACTGCATGAGCCCTTGAAACTTGGGGCCTTGGTGTGCATGCCAAAGGCTTCGATGCAAATGATCACAAACTTGTTTGCATTCACCATGACCAGGAAGCTCGTTGCGCTGATGAGGCTCTGCGCCCAGATGCCTGTGTAGCAGATGGACAGGCCAATCACGCAGCTGAGGCCGATATAAACCTTGTCCACGACAGACAGGACGGCGAACTTGCCAGGGAACTCCAAGAGTTCTCCCTTTGCCCACGCGGCAATGCCTACTGGCACCAAGCCCATGGCGTTGTTGATCAGGGTGATGCCAGCTTTGGAAATATCCACGGGCTGCTGGTCCTTGGAGAGGAGGAGTCGCTGCAGGCAGCGATCCATCACAGCTATGAAGCTATTCAGCAAAATCCAGCCAATGCCCTGATAGTGCTCCCTGGGAAGGTCCATGACATACATCAACGCTCCTGCAAGCATCAAGCCAATGGAGCCTAACATCCAGGGGCTGATGCGCAGCGGCTCCGGATAGAATCGCTCTATGGCCAGCGCAGCCAGCGGGGATGCGTTCCGCAGGACTATGAGCAAGGACATGGGGGCATTTTTGAGTGCCAGAATGGATGTCAAGAGCATGCCACAGTAGAAGGGTACCACAATGCACCATCGCAAGAAATCTTTAAGAGAGCCTATGTGCAGGTACGGAAAGCCAAAGATCAGCATGAAGGCCGCAGCGAAGAAAAGCTGAAACCAGACTAAGCAGCATTCAAGCGGGAAGGCCTGCACTGCTAACTTATTGAAGAGGAGCATCCCCACGGAGGAGAAGCAGTTGGACGTGCAGGCCAGGATGATCTCAAGCTGCTCAATCGACCACGTCATGGTGGCGGAAGATGGCGGAAGTTGCTTCGATCTCCGGGAATGGTACGTATGGACGGAAGGCGTGCTGGCGTTAGTTTCGGCTTACATTGGCGGGGATGGCTGAGCCATCACAGCTGCGGAGTCACAATTGCAGGAGCCATCAGGCCTGCCTTGCTCTGCCTTGCTCTGCCTTGCACTTTCAGTTCCGACAAGTTCACAATTCAAGATGCAGCCCGGTCCGTCGTCGCGTCACTGAAAACAGCCTGCAGATAAGGCACATGCCGGTCTTCATACACCGCTGTACCCACATAATCTGTCGGAGAACCCCCCCCTTCTGCCTCTTCGCCCAGGCTGCGCCAAACGGCTCGAAGCCGCGGCGGGACAGCACCAGCCCCGCAGGTGGCCTGCAGAGCGGCCTGGGCAATCTCTAGGCGACTCAAGACATCATTTCAAGTCCGCCAAAGCTACATCCTGCGGAGAACAAAGTGTGCCTCCACAGCCACAACGAAGTCACCACCCGGATCTTGCATTAAGGTTCCCGAAAGTGCCAGCTCTGCACGGGGTTTGCCTTGGCACGAAAATCAGCACTCAAGCAGGCCGACATCAGCAAAACAGACTAAGCAAATCTCGACAGCCTTCGGCACCTTTTGCTTCAGTCTTTGTTCTCTGGGGAACGGGCGCTGCTCATCCAAGAGCTGTGCGGTGTCACCGCCCTCGTACACCAAGTACTGTCCTGTCTTCACACAACCATCAGCAAAGCAGAAATCCGCGCTGTTTCTCTGGCAGGTCTGGCAATCTGCTGGTTGGTGACTTCAGGAGCTCTACTTGTTCTAAGCCAATGCTTCCAGCGCGCCCTGCGCTGTGCCAAGACGTTCATGCTGAATCCGGGGGGGGGACAGCTGGGGGTAAGAAGTCATGCGTTCCTTGTGCAGTGTTGTTTCAAGGTAGCAACTCAGGCGGTTGATCTCACGTGTGATGTACCTGTGAGTGATTATCTGAAGAGCCATGAAGCGCCAGGGGCAACCAGTTTGAGCTAAGGGAAGGAGGTCAGAGTGATCCTCTTCTGATCTTCTTGGTGATTCAGCAACCAAACTGGCTGAGAATGAAATCAGAAAAAGGGCATTAGCACCTGAGCTAGTTTCTGTTACAGGACTGTTCAAAACCATACCTGGTACCCTTATAATAGGCCAAACTTCCCTTTACAAGCCATGTGTCGAGGAGGGATGCAGCCGCTGACGGTCATGCTCGATCTGACCTGCTGAAAGCAGGCACCACGATAGCTACGATCAGGTGTAGGAGGCTTCATATCTGGTGCTTGAGGCCGCGGTAGCGGAACTTCAGATACTACTGCACGGCGGTGTATAAAAACCAACGCAGACACTAATGCGATGCATCGCCAACCAAATGCAACGACCACATGCGATCAGTCAGATTGCGCTCTCACAGTCTGGCAGATAGCCAACTCACCCGCTTGCCTCTCCTGTGGTCTTATCCCTGATGCGGAAGGTGGGGCTTGCCAATGGTGACAAGACCTGATTATGGATGTCGGCACAGGCTCTGATTTTTTTAGCAGGAGCAGGAGCACCTAGTGCTCGCTTGGTAAATCTATGGCAGTCTGGAAGGTCGCGTGCGTCCAGTATGCACAAATGACTTCCTGTTCAACTCTGATTCGCATGTTATGCCCCGCAGGACCTGACATCTGCTATCAGAAGCAAACTACCAGGCATCCGGCATTCTGCACAGCCACTGCATTCTCAACTCGAACTGCTGCCTGCGCTCTGCGAGAGCCAGAAACCAGGGCTCAAGTCAGAAACAACAAGCCAAAATCGCAGATGGGCTGCATCTTGCATATCCTGCCAAGCCATTTCCAAACCCAAGGGCCTTCTTGGAAACCGATTGCAGAGATAGACTTATAGCAGCATTTAAGGGGCTTCGGCCCTCAAGCCATCAGCAGACTCGCACTCCTACCACCCAGTGAATCCCACTGTCCCGTCGGTCTCCAAAGAGGCTGAGGCTTCAAAGTGGTGGCCTTGGCGTTGGCACCCAGCAGTCCCACAGAGACTCGGCTGATCCGCAAATCTTCATCCTGTCCGTGTCAAATGCAAAGGAGGCAGGTCTGAAACCATGAACTCAATCAGTCTCATACTGCAATGGAAGTCATGGGGATTCCGCTCTGCCTGCAGCGTCGCCTGCGGCTCCAGGAGGCTCAACTCAGAGGCGAACAGCTCCTGCAAGAGCTGGCTTGCAGTCGAGCGCGGTAGCAGCGCTAGAAAATGGCAACTGCGGTAAAGGGATGTGCGAAAGGCCTAAGGCTTTGCAAGCTCAGCGAATGCCCGGCTGCACTCTACGCCCACAAAGAATTTGCCAAGATTGGCGTCTTGTGTCCACACTGGAGGACACCTTGAACTCGATGTTCATGCACACGTGACGCTCAGAAGAAGCCAAGGGATTACTGCAAGGGATTTGAGCAAAAGATAATTTTAAAAAAAATACACACACACACACACACAACAGCCTCCAGGATTCTTCCCTTCAAACCCACTTAATCTGCTGACGCTTTATCCAGCTTCAAGACTCAACTTGACTGCACAAACATGGGAAAAAGCTCTCCTCCGCCTCCTCGTGAGATGCCAGCAGGACCTCCCGCCTGATGAAGGAGTTACTAGGGTAGGTGGTTTTGGTGGACATGTCATAGCATGACCAATCACTCGCAGGGGAGGTGCGTCATCGAAGTTGGTGACTGAGGCTCGAGGGCATCGGCCGCTGTCATTTCTCCAACCCACTCAAGAAATCCAACAGCAGACTGCCATGGACACAAGCAACAGGACTGTGCTGCCAGACAGCCCACCTCCCGATGAAGTTATTCCTCGGTGCAGGAGACCCAGCATAAGAGGTACCTGCCGCCTGTGGTCAATCCTTGTCGACCTCTCTAAGTTTAAGTCACCAGCGCTGCTGACTTCATTTACATTGGAATACAAGACGGAACTCATAGCCTGAACTGGTGCCACTAAGTCCTGCAACATCTCAAGACCTGAACCCTGGCATCCAAACACAACCATCTGAATCTGATCTTGCACAGCAAGAGTGTTGATCGCAACTCATTCCTTGTTCCGCCCTCATCCAGTCAAGAAGCCTGACAGCAAATCGCATTGGCATCCTGAGCTCGTTGGCTTCTGCGACATCTGAAACAAAGTAACGCGGTTGAATCTGGAAATTGCTGCGAGTTTCCACAGCTAGCCAAGCAAGCTTTTTGCAAAAGAGCTGCCTCCCCTCGCCAGCTGAGAGCTCCAGGAGCAGGAGCCCCCCCAAACCATCCCCAGTCATATTCATCCTAAGCAAACAAGCACAGAATGCACAGATTTCCAGCAATTGGGTCCGGATGGGTCCGGGATGTTTCAGTTCCCCTGTCAAGGTTTGGCCTTCACAAAGGATCGCAAAAAAACTGTTCAGCGAGGCAGAACAATCCTGTTTTGAAGGGTCGAAAGTACAGCGCACAACTGCTAGAGATAACATGCCAAGCATCAGGATCCCCGAGTAGCCAGAGGCTACCTTGGACCCATGTCCATGAGCATCCGTGGATCTACTCTATAGTTTCCGGTCGCTACTTTGATGCAGGCCTGCGTGAACTCCACAAGCCCAGACGGCAAGGCCCAGGTTGCCTGGGGCATTGCGTCGCACATCTTTCCTAACAACTCCTAAAGGAAGAGCATATTGCGGTGACATGCTCTGATGGGAACGAACAATGCAAAAGGGCCTTGCTCAGGCGGCCAGTGAGATCCACGAGAGCTTCGAAGCGAAAGCTGAAGTCTCCTGCAATGGACCGAAGCTTCCAGAAGCAAATGTGCAGATAGACTAGATAGACCTATCGAGGATCATAAAGTCTGGCGTTCATTCCCGGATAAGCGGCTTATGCTGCATCATCCTTGCCGTCGTCGCCATCGCAGTCGCTGTCACCGACGTCATCATGATCCTTGCCGTCATCGTCTGCGTGCGTCCGTTGTCGTCCGTGGTTTGCGCGTGTTCATCAGTGGTCGCCCGAGGCCATGGGTGGTCTTTAGTAGTTGTCCGTGGTCATGCATCGTCGTCTGCCACCGCCATTGTCGTCGTAGTCCTCCCTTCTCCTCCTGCTGCTCCTCCTACCTGCACCTTCTGCTGGCGACTCCAAACAAACTTGGCTGAACATGTGTTGGCTTCCTTTGTGAATCAGAATCACCTGAGAATCCTAAGTCAACTTTGAACCCGGAGCCATAGCCCAGCTTCGCACCTACTGCTTCAATCACCTTTCGCCACTGTGAAACCCGCCTCCGCTGATTGCCAGCTCCGAGGTGTTGTGCGAGCCACCGAAGAGCGAAAGTCTTGGCTGTCATGAAATTTATGCGGGCTTGTGGCTCACACTTCAGCAGGCAATCAATCTGTGAAGTGGTGTGCAAGTCCCATGTGCGTACCATGTAGCTGTGCAGGAAGCAGGGGCTTTCGGTGGTCTAGATCGAAAGCTGGCAACACCTGGGCCCAATTACTACACCAGGTAGCTGTGTGCTTCGCCTCTTGTGACTACAAAGTCTGAAGTGCCAAGCACTTTCTTACATCGGCGCAATGCAGATTGCCCTGCAAAGGAGCATTCAACGGGTCAAGCGCACTGGCACTGCAGCAAGGCGCTGACAAAGCTCTGGATGCAGAGGTCAGCTGGAGGCATTGCTTCAGGTGTGCAGCTTTGAACTGGAAATTGGTGCGTGCTTTCAGTTGAGCTTGGAAACGCAGGCAGCAAGAATCTGCTATGACCGCGGCAGTTCTGCACTTCACCAACGCCTGTATGTCTGTCGCCTACTTCGGTTTTTCCCTGGTGCGGCTCTAGTTTGCTGCACCTCCCATACTCCAGTGCACTCTCGCTTGTTGCCAGAGGACCCGAAGCTCGAAGTGTAGCGCCTGACGATGCCACGGGTTTCCTGGGCATTCACCGTCAGTCAGGCCCTCACATCAATGGCTCATTGCGGACTTCGGCAGGGTAGGGCTCAAGAGCTGCT